CGGAGGTTTGGGACGAACTGCACAACAAGAGCTTGTGTCATGAATAAGTAACGCAGAGCCCTGAGAGGCAAGTTAGAAAACAATATTCTGGTAATAATGTTTTATGGCTGAGCTAAATGTTTTTTTCTCCTGTGTTTATGACTCAAGAAGAACACAAATGTTTTGCCTGCATGGATTATCTTTCTAAATTTCAAAGTAAAATTATTTTGGGATCATTTAAAAAAAAAAAAAAGTTTTGTCATAATTTCCTGAGTTCACTTTTTTTTTAAAAACATGGTTGTTGGGAAAATACTGAATGTACTCTTCTAATGTCAGAGTCCACATGATAACAAAGGCCCTACGTAGCTGTGTACATGACAGGATGTGTGATTACCTGAAGAGCATCAGGACTGTTTGAGGCATATGATAGCTATGTGATTAACATGATGATTCAGCCTCTATGGAGAGAGACATATGACAAGCATGCTCATTTCTGACGTGGAGCTAATCTGAAGTAAACATTGAATACTGCTTTCTATTCCTCCATCTTGTGACTGTGAAACTCTCTTGTATATCAGCATGTGAAGGACACGGTTCAGGAACTACTAGTATCATATGCTCTGTATGTGATGACTAATTGTTACTTGATTAAACATTACATTTTAAGCCAAAAAAAACATCCGTAAAATGTTTAAGAGGGTTCAGAATTCAGCAGTAAGTTTGCTGTGTAAATGCTTAATGGAGAGGTAGCAGACCTCTCATGTCTATTTGTGTCATCATTTATACATAAGAGTCTTTTAATAATTTGGGAGGGCTTCCCATATTAGAGGGCTATTATAAGGAACATCTGTATTTATAGAAACTGGCTTGAGAACTTTTTTTTTTATCAATCAAAAGACCTTTTTTGTGTTGTTGTTAAATGTTTGTTACAAGTGTGTTATGTGTGATTTGTAACATGACGTGATCTTATCTTATTGCCTTGTAATTAGTGTACAGGCCTGCAGTTTGGTTAGCTTGGGTCATGAATAAGTAACACGGAGCCACGATAGGCAAGTTAGAAAACAATATTCTGGTAATATGTTTTTATGGCTGAGCTAAATTGTGTTCTCTCCTGTGTTTATGGGTAAAGAGGAACACACATCTTTAGCTTGGGTTATCTTTATAAGTTTCAAAGTAAAGTTTTCCAGGATACATTATTTTTAAAGTTTGTCAGAAAAAAATGTAGCTGCATGTTTGCTGTGTAAATGTCTTAATGGAGAGGTACCAGACCTCCCATGTCTCGTTGTGTCATAAGTTATACATAAGACTCTTCTGAATTTTAGTAATTCAGTTCAAATTAGGGGGCATTTATAAGCAACATCTGTTTTTGAAATCGAAAGACCTTTTTTGTGTGTTATGTGTAATTGTTCATATGACCACAACACAAATATAAAGCCAGCCACGTGATGGTATCTTATTGCCTTGTAATTAGTGTACAGGCCTGCAGTTAGGTTATTGAAACACTAGGTGGGGGTACTCCATCACATCACAGTTACTCCGCTCCTCGCCCTGCAGTTTCATCGCCCCATGGTGTGCGTTTTAATTTGTTTCTCGTCCGTAATCCACTAACTCTAGCTGTGCCCTCTGGATGTCCACTCACTGTGTTCGAAGACGTTAAAGCTCTTGGCAGGGTGGGATGGTTGGAGCTCTACCAGCAGATGTTTGGGGTCGGCATCCGCGAGGGAGCAGCTGTACCTCACCACCCCCCCACCGGGGTCCGAGCTCACTGTCAGGTTCACACAGCGCCTCTCAGACCTGAAGCCACGGATTACAAGGAGATGGGAGATGGATGAAAGGATGATAAACAACCGGATGCATTTTCCAGCCAGGTGGTTTTGTCCACTTACGGCGGCGTCTGGTTGTTTGGAAGGACCAGCTGGTAGGAGATTAAGTGATCCACGTCCCTGCTCACCTCCCAGCTGCACGTCACCTCCCTCTCTCCATCCAGGACACAATGCAAGCTGGGAATCTGCCCAGTGTCTAAACCCAGAGAAAAAGAACTAATAACAACAGCTGCAAGCGCCAGATTTTTCATCAGAAAGAGAAGATTAGAAATGTGAGAAAAGGAGATAAGGCACGGGGTTTCTTATAGAAGAAAGGTCAGAGGTGGAAGATTTATTCACATCCTTAGTTTAATTAAAAGTCCCATTACATTATTTTAAAAGTACTCAAAGTAAAAGTACAAAAGTATTATCAGCAAAAAGTACTTAAAGTATCAATAGTTTATTTATTTTATTTTTTTATTTATTATTTATTTTATTATTCTGCAGAAAAATGGCTTCCATTTATGATAAATTATTATAAATGTGACATTATTACATTGTTCATTTTGTTGCATTAGGTATTTAGTGTTTAGACTTTTACCTTTTTGTACTTCAAACATTTAGGTGCATTATGTTAAAAGTTAGGATTAGAAATATTTCCCTTTTCAATGAAACAGAGTAGGAAGTAGCATTAAATGGAAAAACTCAAAGTTCTTCAGGTAATTAAAAATCGTGATTGTAACTATTACTAGTATGCAAAATTCACTTGTTCATGTCTCCTCTACATCAACATGTGTCCCCTCTGTGTAAAGAGATTCTGAAAGCTTCGGGAAAAAATATTCTCTCTCTTTTTGTCCTGATCCATTTCTATAAAAACCTGTCTGAAAATGAGCTGATCAGATTTTGGCCACTTTATGATGTCATAACGTTTTTTTTTTTGGCTTGTGTAACCATTAGCCAATCACCAACCAAGGTAACCCCCCCCCCCTTATCACCTGAATCTCCTCCTAGAGCACATGTGTCAAACTCAAGGCCCGGGGACCAAATCAGGCCCCTTGGTGGATTTAATTTCGGCCCC